GAACTGTGGAAGCTTCCATGAAAGTGATAATTTTATTTGCTGAACAAAGAGTCACGTGACATGCAAAATCATACAAAAGATGCAAGACAATTGGAGGATCCCAGCTGCAAGAACAACATAAGACACTTTTTGCTTCAAAAGATTACATTGACCAGGAAAAAAATGTACTTTCGACAACAATAAAGCCTTTTAAGTCCTGGCTGTTTGTTGTTGTTATTTGTAGAAAAGGGGCTCCATTTTCAAAAGTAAAAAGCAACTGGGTTGTTGTAGGTTTTTTCGGGCTATATGGCCATGTTCTAGAGGCATTCTCTCCTGACGTTTCGCCTGCAGCTATGGCAAGCATCCTCAGAGGTAGTGAGGTCTGTTGGAACTAGGAAAAGGGTTTATATATCTGTGGAATGACCAGGGTGGGACAAAGGACTCTTGTCTGCTGGAGCTAGGTGTGAATGTTCCAACTGACCACCTTGATTAGCATATAATGGCCTGACAGTGCCTGGAGCAAACTTTTGTTGAGAGGTGATTAGATGTCCTTGTTTGTTTCCTCTCTGTTGTTGAATAAATCTTGCCAAGAAAGTACTTTAATAGAATCACCTTGGAAACAATTTGAAGAAGCACAACCACAACTACAATGAATTATTTCCATTTCTAATGTAATAGTGGGTACTGACTTGGATTCCATCATGGAGACCTCAGGGGCAAGCAGAGTTTTACTTTCAATCATGCGTGCCAGTCAGTGTATCTGGTGTTCAATACACAACTGAACATTAGAGAAGAGATGGAATTGACACCCATGCTCATCTATTACATTCCATCTCCTAGAAGATGAAATGGCCTAATCCCTGTGCAAAGACCTATGATTTCGTGAAGCTGAGCCAAAATGCTATTTGAGGGGCCATGTATTTCTATATAAGTATGTTTAAATGGGATCAGAGTGGTAGAGCTTCTGGAATTACTGTCCACGAAAAAGCATTTCTCATCCAAATTGTTTCATGTAGTTTCTCTTCTTAGGGCTCATAGTGTCTCCATTGACTTTGTGACTTTATGACTCTGCATGTGGACTATTTAGACATTTCTCTGAGATTTCAGCTCAAGGAATCAAGAGCATTCCTATTGCAATTGCAATAGCAGGTTTTTAAAAAATATGTCAATGCTATTCACAGACAAGTCCAATCTAATTCACGTTCAAGCCATGCTCTCCTTTGACTTGCATTACTTTTCTTTCTCTTCAGGCATTAACTCTGAAATTAAGCTGGTAGAATTTGCTGGCTAGTTGCTACTGCAGCAAAAAGAGAGATTTAATGAGAGATTAGCTAGATCAATGAAACTGAATGTTAAACTTTATATATAATGGCTCTGCTTCCACCTGCTGGAAGAGAATTCACTTGACTGCCCAATGATAACAGTTTGCCTAATGTTTCACAGTTAAATTTGCTTAAATTCATTATGACTTGGAAATTGTCAATAAAACAAACACCTGAGCTCTGCGAGTGCAGCATTTTTTCAGAATGAAACAGAGAATGTTTGAGGGCTGGAACATCCGTAGGGAGACCAAAGTGCTTGTTTATAAAGCTATTGTCCTCCCAACCCTGCTATACACTTGTGAAACACGGACTGTCTACAGATGTCACACTCAACTCCTAGAATGATTCCATCAGCATTACCTCCAAAAAATCCTGCAAATCTCTTGGGAAGACAGGCAGACAAATGTCAGCGTGCTGGAAGAAGCAAAGACCACCAGCATTGAAGCAATTCTCCTCCGTCATCAACTCCACTGGACTGGTCATGTTGTCTGAATGCCTGATCACTATCTCCCAAAGCAGTTACTATACTCCCAAATCAAGAATGGAAAACATAATGTGTGGACAGGAAAAGAGATTTAAAGATGGGCTTAAAGCCAACCTTAAAAACTGTGGTATAGGCACTGAGAACTGGGAAGCCCTGGCCCTTGAACATTCTCACTGGAGGTCAGCTGCAACCAGCTACAAGGAATTGCTTAAGTAAAGGAAGTACAAAGGCATATTTCTAGAACCATAATACTACAATGGGGAAATTAAACCTTGGGTTGCCTTGAAATGCCTCAAAATTGACACATCCTATAAGAAAAAAAATGGATGTAATAAGAAAACTGCTTATCTTCCCTGRTGGTTTTGAACAAAAGAATTCTCGCACAACCTACAGCAAGTTGGACGTAGACCAATGAATGACAGCTGTTCACGGTCAATAACTATTCCATAATGCCCCCCCCCCCCAGCACTTCTTCTGTATGAGTTTACAGTTTGTGAGTCTATTTTGATGCCTGGTAACATGTTTTTCTGGATGAATGCACCAAAGAGTTTTTGCTTGGAGTCTGTTGTGGTCTCTCTCACTGTGTCTCTTGCACAATAATATACAGCGGTGTCCTCTATTTTCAGGTTGCTCATATGTAGATAAAAGTTGGAGCCACTTTTAGAAGCCGTGAATCGACCTTGGATTGTGGAAGAATAGTAGCTTTGCCCAGAAGCAGTACCATAATAATACACAAGCCATTCCAGTCCTTGGCCCGGCTTCTGTCTGACCCAGGTCATCCAGGTGCTGCTGAGAGTGAATCCACTGGTGCCACAGAGCATCTGATGGGATTCTCCAGGTTTTTTCAGTGCTTCACCTGACTGGGTCAGCACCACCTGAGAGTGAACACCTGGGAAGAGGAGACACAAGAGAAAGGGTTAAGATTTCAAAAACAAAGCCATGGCTTGAAATTTCAGCGGGAAAGGAATGAATGTCCAACCCAACACACTTGAGGAAGAGGCTGCCAGTGTAATAAGTATTGGCCACAATGAGGGCATGATGGCAGAATCAGTTGGATGTAGAAAGGACTTAGGGAGGCACAGCAGGAAATGTGTGTGAGGAGAGACATTTTCAGGAAATAAGTAGGACGCGAAAATGGTTTTGCATAAAGTGGGCAGCGCAAGAGAAGTCAGTATTAATATGGGCTCAGTTCCCTTGAGTAACAACAAATCCCAGGAATGATCATCTCTGAACAGAAGAGAATTTACTTTTTGTATTTGTTACCACAATTCTATAGTAGGAGGAGAGAAGGAGGCACCTTACCTTATTCTACTTCTGCAAGATGAAGAGACCCATGTTTGCAATATGGTCCACCCTAAGGTCTGTGGCACTGAGCCTGACTCATTGGATTGAATGATTTGGAGTTATTTGCTGTGAAGGATAGTTGTTGATGTTCACCATGTTCATGGAGTGAAAAAACGGTTCCAGTTTTTTTACTTTAAGTTTCAAAAGCATTCTTCATGGTGCCGAATCTATTTTGGGGAAAGTGACCCATTTCATATTTAGATGGAACACATTGACATGATACATCCTGAATTGTAGGTTTGTCTTTTCACACCATGTGAGGCAGAATGAAAATTGCAATTATTGAAGACTCTCTTGCAGTGGAGAAAAAAATGCACAAAGGCTTTCTGTGGGTTAGCAGATGGATGGCATATGCTCTGTATCAGAAAGAAGAGGTGATGTGGTCTATCCAATGCAATTTTCTGAATCAGCACCCCTGCGTGATCGCATCGCCGTCTATGAACCCACGCGTTCTCTTCGTTTATCTGGAGAGGCCCTGCTCGTGATCCCACCTGCTTCACAAGCGCGTTTGGTGGGGACACAAGACAGGGCCTTTTCCTGGTGGCCCCCGACTCTGGAACACCCTCCCCAAAGATCTTAGACAGGCCCCTACATTGGCAGTCTTCAGAAAGAACTTGAAGACCTGGCTGTTCCGATGTGCCTTCCCCAAATAGGAAACCTCCAATACCAAGTCCCATAAGCACTTTATTAAAGCTAAGACTGCCGCACACTGCACTGTACTTGCCCATGAGCCTCATATTCCACCTGTCACATCAGCACTTTTAACTCCTGTACCCTTACTCTGGCCCGGCCCAGTTTTATTGTGTCTTAGTGTATTGTTCACTGCTTGTTGTTTAGATTGCTTTAATTGTTTTTAATTTGCCTTAGGTTTTGTATTGTATTGTGTGTTGAGGCCTTGGCCTTTGTAAGCTGCATCGAGTCCTTCGGGAGATGCTAGCGGGGTACAAATAAAGTTTAATAATAATAATAATAATAATAATAATAATAATAACCAAACCAAATAAAAGTTGACAAAAAACTGATTCGTAAACCTTTTGTTACTAATGGAGAGTGTTCCCTGGTCAAAATGGTCCCTGGTCAAAGTGGTACCTGGACAAAAAAAAAAAAAGGTTGAGAAACATTGGTCTAAGATAAAATAATGGGCCAAGGCCACCAACAGGGTTTCTATGCTTCAGTGGGGATCTTCATGATTTTTAGACCAACACATTGAGGCAAGGGATGTTAGGAATCAGGCATGTGTGTTCCTTATAAACACAGTGTTCCTTATAAACATGAAGTGCTTATGTGAAGAAACGGAATGCCTGAATAATTGTATATTTATTTACTATATTTGTATACCACCCTTCTCAGCCCTTAGGCGACTCATGGGAACCTTCACATCTCCTATTCAATCCCTAGACTGCATACATTGAAACATTACCAGGCAGAATTCACTTGACTGCCCAATGATAACAGTTTGTCTAGTGTTTCATAGTTAAAATTGCTTGAATTCATTAGGACTTGGGAATCGTCACTATAAGTCACTTAACCCCTTCCATGTATGTGTAGGAGATGACTCAAATGGATTCACCCAAGGTCCAAACCAATCTGAATCACTGATGCACTGAGGATATATTCTTTAATTTTGATTATGGCTGAGATTACTGGAAAGAGTAATTATATCTCCTATAGTTATCATCATCATTCTCTCCCAGTAATTATAGCCCAGGACTCCAACATCACAGATGATAGAACAATTTAGGCTTATTAAAACACACAGTCCTATATTTATAAAGAGATCTATAGCTATAAAAATATGTTAGGTATTGACATAAGGCAGGAAGTGTTCAAAATGGCACTTTGAAGCCATTACTTGGTGCCCTGAAACTATTAAAATAATTTCAGGCTTCAAGCTTCTCATGGCCATTCAAGCTTATTTAAAGGCTAGTTTGGGCTCTTTTGCTGGTATTCTATCTCCCTGTCCTAATGCTTGTTTTTTTTCCTTATTGCTATTTTGCTTTATTGGCTTAAACTTGGCAAGGCGGACGCTGGGCTTTGCCTACTTGGTCTTCCTTTCCATGAGAAGGCTGTCATGGAGCTTGGAGACCTTCAGCTCTAAGGCCTCCATGACTAAGGTGCTGTTCTCATCAAAGAACTTGGCGATGGACTTGGCTTCCTCTGCTGCTTGGTTCACTTGCTGATGAACTTAATTTTGAGGGTGTATTTGTCATCAAACCTTTTCAGGCTTGAGGAAAGCTGCCAGATGTCATCGGGATCTCTTCTGTGTGCTACCAGGAAGATGCTCTTCTTCTTATATGATGTATAGATGGTCAGAATCCCCATAATACCATAATATGATACTACACATATGTCAAGGACTGGCTTGGATTCAGGGAAGGGGTGAAGGTAATCCCATATTAAAGCCACAATGGCAAAGAGGCAGGAGATGGTGGAAATGATGAGGTGCCCATCAATCAGGCAGAAGATCTCCAAATACTTGTACTTTTCCAAGAGAACCTTGACATCTGCCTGTCCTAATGCTTGTATGAGGTATAACGAGGTCAGGGTTGCAAGAGGTCAGGCATATGTCAAAAATAACCATATCTTCATCAAGTGAAATATTGATAAACCAAATTGAACCTGACAAACTGTCAACTTTGGTTCTAGAGAATTAGCAAAATCATTGTCAATCAAACTGGCAGCAGTCCAGTGTCTTTATGGTGCCATTGCTATTCTAGTTGCCTGGTCTAAATATGGTTTACAGGTGTGTTGAGGGCCCTGGTTTGCAGATGTCCTTACTGCTGCTCTTTTTGCTGATGCAACTGCCACACCAGATTCACAATAGATGCAATTGGGAAACAAAAGTTTACAATCTGTTTTCTGGAATACTGAATGACATTACTGTTGGCACATTTGTCTCTTTTGTTGTAACTGCATTTAATGAGCTTCATTTTAAAAGAATCTCAGATCCAATGCCTCATAGCTAAAAGGTTAATAACAACTATCAGCCCCATTTCCTAGTACTGACAGAGGCATATTTCTAGAACCATAATGCTATAATAGAGAAATTAAACCTTGAGTTGCCTTCAAATGCCTCAAAATACACCCATCCTATAAGGAAATGAATGTAATATGAAAACTGCTTATCTTCCCTGCTGGTTTTGAACAGAAGAATTCTTCCACAACCTACATCAAGTTGGTCGTAGGTCAATGAACCACAGCTGTTCACTGTCGATAACTATTCCTTAATGTTTTCTTTCTAGCACTTCTTCTGTATGAGTTTACAGTTTGTGAGTCTATTTTGATGCCTGGTGACATAATGTTTTCCTAGATGAATGCACAAAGGGGTTTTTGCCTGGAGTCTGGTGTGGTCTCTCTTACTGTGTCTCTTGCACAATAATATACAGCGGTGTCCTCTATTTTCAGGTTGCTCATATGTAGTAAAAAGTTGGAGCCACTTTTAGAGGCTGTGAATCGACCTTGGATTGTGGAAGAATAGTAGCTTTGCCCAGAACTAGTACCATAATACCGCACAAGCCATTCCAGTCCTTGGCCAGGTTTCTGTCTGACCCAGTTCATCCAGGTGCTGCTGAGAGTGAATCCACTGGTGCCACAGGTCATCTGATGGGATTCTCCGGGTTTTTTCAATGCTTCACCTGATTGGGTTAGCACCACCTGTGAGTGAACACCTGGG